AGAAAAATATGGAAATCCTTCTTATAATTTTAATGAAATGTTTTTCTATACCATTTTAGGAGCGATTACTTATATTATGGGAATTGTACCTATAATATATAGGAATAGTTTCTATAAAATTATAGGAACCATTCCTATAATATTATAGGAACTATTCCCATAATATATTAAAGCTATTCCATTATTGTGTAGGAACGTTTCCAATAAACTATGGGTATGGTTCCCATAATGAGTATAGGATTGATACCTATAATGATCATTTCATTATAGGAACCATTCCCATAATGTTTGGAAAGGTTCCTATAAATTTCTCTCCGTGTAGTTCTGGGTTATCTGAATAGTTTTGATATTAATTATTTTCACTCTTTATCGATTTGATTTACGCTCAAACTATGTTGAATACGTTCAACTGACGTTTTTAACGTTCAATACGTTTAATCGACGATTTAAATTTTACAAGCATTTTATAAATAAGCTAAGTGATTTTTAACAACAACAAAAAGAAAACACAAATCAATTTATTTTTTATTAGCTGGTACTTTAATTTACCATCTATATAAGAAATGGTTAAAATATTGCTGTTTGTTTTTAATACATCTCATTCCAGTTATACGTCCTCTGTTTACAAATTGATTCATGTAATTACTAAATACTGTTCAAACAATTCCGTAATGGCAAAGATGGTTGAATTTATCGTAATACAACCATTAATTTCGCTTTACTCGGTCAGTTTACTTTTCAAAAACTTATGCAATTCAAATTACATGTTTAGTTATTGCGAACAAACAATAAATACCCCAATTGAATGAAATATTAATCACTGAGACTTCGTTTTACTCAACCCTTCAAATAATCAACAAATCTCATAAATTTTTTCATTTATCATGATCACGAATTAAAATAATTCAACATCATAGTTTTAACACAACAATATATGAAGACAGAGCATATATGAAGTATGATTTATAGTAATAATTTATCCAAATTTGAAGGAATGTATATATCAATCGGTAGGTTGTCATACGTGTGTTGTCACTCATTATCTAATTTCCCGCGTGCATTAGACCGGGTGTCATAAACAGACATACAAGATCCGCAGTATACTTGCCCTGACACGAGAGAATGACGTCTCACGATTATGCAGCAAACAGGCAATTTATTATGCCGAACACACATACATCCATACATACACACAGACACACTCTCATATGTAAACATCGATATACCACTGAGCACAGTAGTTATTATTTAGTCATTGCGTTGAGATATAGATTTGTATCAACTTCGCCCGCAGAGCTAACAAAAACTCTTGGCACTAAGAATGAAGTTGTCAAAAAAATTAGTTGAACTTATTTGTATTTACAATACATTCACATAATATATGTATTGAAAAGTGTGGCCTTAAAGATAGAGATATACACAATAAATACAAGAGCGGACTGGCCCGAATATCCATCAATCACACGCGATGTTCGCATGTGTGATTAATGCTCCGCAAGTCACTCTAATTACTCGTGAACCATGACACACGTGTCTAATACGTCATCATTCACGATCAATCTACGGCAAGTGTAGATTCTCCGGTTGGATAACGTTATTATGTGTTACGAACGACCATAGTACCGAAATTCGATATAATATTAACGAAAAATATATAAATACACGTTAAGTTTGATTCAATACAACAAAGCAATAGTTTTTTGAGGAATTAAGTAAATAACGATATTATTATTTGATTACGACTACGGTCGGAGATCACTTCCGCCCAAAATGGGGTTTTTATTGATTTACCGGGCGATAAAGATAAATAGGTTAATATAAAGTGAGTAAAAGTGAATAACTAAAGCATGAAATTGTGTTATAGCACTCAATTAGTCTGTAGTGGTAATTTGAAAGCATCATATTTTATCAAGTCATGCGGTATGAGCTCTCACCAGCTATACCAATCCAAAGTTCGAATTTCAATTAGTCTAGCCACTCGGTGAAACCGCTAAAGCGACCATTTCCACAACTGCATACACTAATTCAATGAAATAGTATACACTTTTGGTCTCTATATACCTGTAGATATCAGCACATATGAGCCTCTATCTACCTGGATGCACTTTAGAGACATTAGAGTCTCTGCAGTCTTTCTATTCGAATCACGTTTAATGTTCATTCCCGCCAATGCACCCTGCCACAATATATTTACACTTAAAAATTGCTACATGCGTGTGCTTCTCTATTTTCCCTATATCCCGCTAAATTTGATATTTGTAATGGTTATCATCACTTGATACTTGGGGTCTATCATGGATTAACTAAGTTAATAGTTTCCTAATTTCACCGGGATCATATTTATTTGTGAAATTATTTTTTAACTCTTCAAAAAATTCACATTAAATGAGCTAGTCGAAATTAGAGCTTTTAAGTTTTATACCAAAGTTCGATATGATGATTAAAAAGAAGGTCTTCAGAACACCTACAGTAAAATTAAAAAACTTTTCAAATTGCTCTGCATAAAGATATCTTTACATTATCTGACAAATTAACTAGTTGAAAAATCATTCAACGTCAATAATTAAATTACACTAAATTTGCACGATTTAATTTTGTCTAGAAAACAATCATCATATCAATAAATAACCTGTCATACTGTCAGTACATTATGGATGTAATTTACTTTACAAACAATTTCAGAGATGATAAACGCGCAATATTTCGTACAGATTGACGTATTTACAGTATCCTGAAATTACATTTGATATTGACTTAAATATCAATGAATATTGTCAATATTGACAAACTTTATTGCTCAATTATATAAAATTATTAAAAAAAATTGATTTTCTTCTGCATTTTTTTGAAATATGATTTTTCGGAAATATTTCCTGAATTTCTAACAAATTTTAATAATAATAAAGTTAGCCGACATTTTTGATTTTTTTATTTCGCTTAATTTATTAATTTATAATTAAAAAATATTTTTAAAAAATTGCACTTATAGTTTTTGAAGTTTTTAACAAATGAAAAAAATTTTTTTTTTATTTTTCTGTAATAATTCTTTAATAAAAAAAATCATAAACATTTTTAGACGTCGGCTAACTTTATTTTAATCAAATTCTATGGAGATTTTTCGACAGATCTGACAATTACCAGAATTTCCAACGGATTCTACAAAATTTACGCTAATCTACTATTTAGAAATAAATGTTCCAAATTTTATTTGGAACACTCAACCCCTTAATAAGCCGACTTACAAATGGATTTTATTTCAATTTGTTCTTGAAGTAATAAAAGCCTAAAATCTTAACAAATAGAGCGTTTGAGGTGTGCAATTTAGCTTTCTTTCACCTAACATCCACATCTTGAGATCCATTATTATTTTAAAACTGGGATATTTTTTTATTTTTTAATAACACTATTTCACTGTTATCCGACAAAGTGCTTGAGATAAGATCCTGTCTTTTACGAGGCAATTCCCATCTGGCTCAGCTATACTACTAGTAGTCCCACTACAACTCTCGACATCACTCCCATGCCCATTCTATCTGCTTTACCAAAAAATTTAGACCTTCTATTATTATCTTTTTATATATATTTTTAATACTCCTTCTTCTCTTTCGTTCTAAAAGTGATTGTAGTAGTTGTTGATGTTATTATTATATTTTTATCGTCTAGTAGACATAATTAATTTTGTTTAACACGAGGAGTTTTCAGCGGAAGTGGATGGATAAAATAATGAGAATGCATAAGCATAGAACCGAGACGAGCTGAGCAGAGTAGAGCAGAGCAGAGGTGTATTGTTAAATTAATAAATGCATCTGTATATGAAACAAGAGCTTTTTATAGTTACCGTGGCATTGTTTACTAGGAAGAGGCCAACATTTGCCAGAGTACCACCGATCGTTAGTGTGTTTGGTTTAATGATACAATTGTATACTTAGCAGTGGGTGCGGGTGCGAGGGCGATTGTGGGTGTGAGTGTAGAGCAGACTATCCTATCCTATGCCTTCTGACCGTTTGCGTGAAGGCATAACGGGATGGATGTCGGTACCCAGTATTAGTAATCACCGGGGCTTAAGCGAAATAGCAAGAGAGGAAGAGCGCGAATTACAGAGACGAGATTGGGTTTGAGAGGGAGAAAGAGAATTTCAGGCATCAGACATCAGACAGAGACTATCCTCGGCATGTCCTGGATATATCAGTGTTTGTCCATCGAGGATCCGTTGTCTCCGGTTCTGATGGCAATGCTAACCCGACGTCCACCCGACGCCTCGTCCAAATCCAAAGGGATTTGCCTCGACAGTTGAAACTGAAATTAACGAGATATATCGACTTAACAATAGTCCTTGAGAGCAACTAACAGCCAATCGATCATCGACAGCTGGATAAGATGTTAAGATCTCCCACGACAATCATCAAAGCCACCCTAATAACTTGTGTGTAGACCTCCAATCAATAGTCTTTGATCTATTACTCTGTTTAATCATCGCCTATACATGTGATTATTTAATGTTTAATCTATTGCATCCATTAACGTTATTGTTAATTTCGATCCCTTACAATCCTGAGTGGTTCTGTAATTTCTTTGGGCTCTAAATTCTGCCCGGGAATTCAGCTACCTGCGGGTAATAGAGCCTGGTATTTGATATTTGTGCACGGAAAAAAGTAAACTGAAATTAAAATTTTCTTTTTCCGTGTAGAAAGTGTAAAAGCCACAATTTATAATTTATTATCGAAAATGTGATTAGTTGTCACCATAGTAAATAACGGCGCTCATCTTAAAAAATTACAGTTTCAAACAGTAAAAATTACCGTTTCAATATATAGTCTATACTATGAGGAGAAGGGGAAGAAGAATAATTTCAAAGTTTTTTTATATTTAAAAATTTTACATAAATAATTATTTATACAACATACAATTTTTCTAGTATCAATAAAATATAAACAGATCTGTACAAATATAAAAATTTCGTGTATGTATTTAAAAACGAATACATAAAAATTGAACCAGGATCACTTTCTTTTTACAAGCAGCTGCTGTATTTCCGAAAAAGTTCTGCCTTTAGTCTCCGGCGTAATGATCATCAAAATAATGGTGACACTCGTTACAATCACAGAAAAACCCAAGAAGGGTATCGAATGTCCTAGATTCGCCGCCAGAACTTGGTACATTTTGATAGTAACCAAAGCAACTAAGCTCGAAAATATATTACTGAGTCCACTGGCGATACCTTTAACATTAGAAGCAAGGATTTCCCCTGTTAAAATTGACTGAACATTGGTGACACCAATATTAGACGCGAATACCAGGACTATAGCTGCGATAAGTGGCACAAAGCTGTACTGCATAACTTCATCCCTGCCAGTGTATTCTATTAAAAAGAAATACCCTCCGATAACAAAATTACATATGCCGAGAGCAGCACCAGCTCCGAAAATAAGGGGTTTTCTGCCTGTATGGTCGATAATAAAGCTTGATATAATCGATGCAATAACTTGGGTGATTGCTATAAGGATGATGGCAATATGGTCACTAATTGAATTGCCAGCTGCCTGGAAAATAATATTTCCGTAGACAACAATACTGACTAATCCCCCTAAATACAAGGAAATAACAAGAAGATTAATAATAGCAAAAGACCGTAAGTTACTCTTAACTCTAAATAACAAATTTAATGATTCGATTAGTCCAACATCTTTTTGTTCAGCTCCAGTTTCATTAATCAAACTTTTAATCAGCATCAATTCCTCGGAGACGTCAAGCTTTCCTCGTAATTTTTCTAACACCATTTCGGCCTCTGATTCCTGGGATTTAGCCACCAAAAAATACGGAGACTCGGGTATGAAATAAATAGCTATTTCAACACCCAAAGAAATAACCAAAAACACAACAGCTGCCATTGCAATGCTCAAATATGGTATCACTATAAACGCAAAGAGTATTCCCAAATTAATCATGACACCCATTGTTGAGCCAATTATTCCACGTATTTCAACTGAGGCTATTTCACCAAGATAAAGTGGAGTGACACCAAAAACTACGCCCAACGCTACACCAGCCAGCAGTCTTGCAACTATTAGCAACTGAAAATAATAATACGGTTTATTAATTGTCTGACTATCAGATTATAAATTATAATAGTTTTGGTAACCGCAATTACAGTTGTTAATCTTAGAGATTAATTACCGAAACATTGTGCGCAAAGCATGTTAATGACCAGCAGATTATTAGTGGTAATCCACCCAAAAACATCGAGTTCTTTCGGCCCACTCGTTCAATCATCTGTTTGCTGATTAAAGCCGCTATCAAATGCCCGATTGTTGATGAGGAGGCAATTGTTGAGGCATCTCCATGGTTGATAGGAATCGGTGAGTCGGGCTTTAATAATATTACCAGAGTTGGCGAGGTCCATCCTAGTATGCATCCCACACAAAATCCTTGCATCGAGCCTAATTGATCATATAATTATCGTTACAATTGCAGATATCTGGTAAATCTCGACTGTTTTGATTAAGATCGATGAAATGATACGGGTGTTTTTAAAAATTCACTATTTTGTTTAGATTTTTAATTGGTATTTTAATTAATTATTATTTGAGCTCTTTTGATTTTGTGACGTCTGTTAAAATCTAAAATTTTTGTTTTTCTTCTAAATATATGTAACTTTTTATTTTTAATTTACAATTTATCATACCCTTGAAGTCTGTAGAAGAGTAATCTGGCCTAACTTTCCAAAGATTAGATGACGTTCATACGAATCACCCGGATCTCTTTATATAAAAAATTATTATAATCACAATTTAACGACGATGTTTTTCTAACTTTTAAATTTGTAATATGATGAAGTCAGAAGTCACCTTCACGTTTTCCGCTTAAAATCGTAAAAATAAGACCTATAAGGCAATAGTTCAAACTACGCATAGATTTATCCGGGTTTCAAAAAATCTAGAAACGCGATGATGCAAAATACCCTTGAGCTCTCCCTCAATTTTTGAATTAATTTACCTATGAGTCCCATACAGACGCCGATGTTGCTAACCCTATATAAACCACCCGAAAATCATTTTTAGGCAGTTCGATTTCGACCAGGATACCACTGGTTAGCTCCGCGTCGATCGGCTCCGGGCAAATAATTCTTCGGAAGCACAATAGACTCCGTAATATACGAGTCAGTGCCTTGCTCGTGGTTAGGCTGCACTTAGTAGCACTAACGTGGTAGATTCATCGGCTATTCGATATATGCCATAATTATATTCCAATTTTCTTTTGTTTTATTAATTTCCGCCATTGAGCGTTGATTTTTCCCGCGTAAATCGCGAAGTGTATTATTTTCCGCCAAGAGAGCGTTGATTTGTCCGCGTAAATCGCGAAGATTATTTTCCGCCGAAGAGCGTTGACTAGATTTTAAGGATTTCTTCGTGAAAATTCGCGAAGTTTCATTTTGATATATTTTTCCGCTAAAAAGCGTCGATTATATTTAAAATTCATTATCTAAATTACTTAACTTCTCCGGAATATCCGAGATACGGTGATTCAATAGTGAACAAGTCCCATAAAACTTAGGGCCTCTCTCGAAAGAGCAGACTTCTAGGGTAAGCGTACAAAACATTTTACTTTATATTTTTATCTTTTATATCTAACCTTTATGTTCATTTTTTTTATGACTATTTTTATTTAACATTTATATTGTAACCCAAATTTGTAAACTTATTAACTGGTTTGTCTCAATAAAATTCAAATAACAGAATTATATTTTTCTTTCCTTCAAATCAAAATATACAATTAAATAAAATAAGATCTCTATTACAAATAAGATTTGAGTTAAACAATAGAATAGGTTACTCGTGACCGAAGTCAGCAAGAGTCCATCATCCTTATTCTCTCTAAGTTGATGCTTAGAGATAACGTTCGAGCTTGTGTACCGCTCCACACTCCAACGCAATTTTTAATTTAGCTCCCGAACGGATGTGATAACGTTCGGATATTTGAGATTTCTATTTCATATTACTTGCGCCCATCACTCATTCCGTTCGTGACAATTTACAACTATCAATTTTCTATTTTTTATGCAAACAATAAGAATTTTTTAGAAATTTTATGTAAAAAATTGTCGGCTGAGAATTGTCTAACATATAAAGATTTTCGGTGTTATAATCAGCTCCCAGATGAAATAAAAAAGAGGATAGAATGTTTATTTTTAAAAGATTATTAAAAGAATTTGTAAAGGAAAAATTTTGAGTTTTAAATAAAATATCAATGTACAGTAATTAGTGTAAACTATTGTAAAAAGACTTGTAAAGTAGCTACTAATAAAAAAAAAATTTGAGTCATTGATTTTAGTATATCTTTAAAAAATTAAAATTTTGTTTTTTAAATAAATAAAAATAATTAAAATAGAACCACGGATTTTTTAATCGAGAGATTAAAATTTTATATATATATAAAAAAAATAAATATTAATTTGCATCGACAACTTCAATTTTGACGAATCAATGCTTTATTTTTTTCTAAAAAAATAGCAAAATTTTCTAAAACACTGCTAAAGGCATAATTAAATAAAATCTTACATACAAATGCCGCCCAGTATTCCCAGAATTTGGATCCCTCGGGCGACGTGTATCTGCCTTTTCCACTCATTTCACTAAGCTAACTGACTATCGAGGAGGCTTTTCTTAAACTTTTTAATTAACTTCATCACCGATATATCTGTACTCAGATAACGTGAACTGATAGGAAGCGGAATTACTTGCCAGTTCAAATATTTGAGTTTTATCTTGTAAAAGTTATTGTGTTGTAATTAGATAGAATTTATTGTAGTCTAGAGGCATGCTTTTTCTTTTTAGATGTTCAATTTTATCTAGTTAATCATTTAAGAATTACTAGTTAACTTGTTTACTCGGCAACAATATTTTTACTGGTAAGTTTTCCTTGTTTATATAAGCCCGTGATTGTTTTGGAGGGTTATCATCTCTCTTTTTTAATTACGCTCCACTTGTACAACTGTCACATTATTTATTTTTTTATTTATGAAGGGTAATTAACGATATCAATTCCGATATTTATTATCCGCATTAACTTTTCTACAACTTTTTAATACATTATGGAAATCCAAGAGCTCACAATAATCTATATCAATACGTCGATAATTAATTAATGCTTTTTTAACGCAAATATCTAGTTGAATTTTTTTACCGAGCAATTATTCCGTAAAAATATTTTTATTAAATAATGTAGCTAATTTTCTAAAGATTTATTTGATAATGAATTTATTTGGTTACTTTTTTTTACCCGCTTAGTATTAAATCGCAGTGGCAAATCTGGGATTTGAAGGCTCTTACCAGCTGCCTCTACCTGCCCTCTATAAGTATGTTCATGTAGATATAAAGATACCTTAATAAGCTAATAAATTGTAGATCAAGCGTTTCTACAATAATACAAACAAAAAAGAGAACTTTCTTTTCAAGCAATCCTTTAGAGCCAAGTAATTAACAAAATTACATTATAATCTTATAATATCAATACATATAGTAACAAAATAAGTAGCTTTTCAAAGGGCATCCATTTATGTGTGGCGGAAAATTATCTATGAATTTAATTAACGCTTATTAAATAAATTTAATATTATAATCAAAAGATAATTAAAAAAAAATTAATTATGCACTCCGATTTTAAATTACCAATTATTAACAATCGAATCAGTGTCACCAGCACTGAATCTCACTTTTGACAGCGACAAAACACATTTAAAATTATCCTTATCTCGACGAGCAATTAATTCACATCTTAAATAAAGCGTCATTTTCACGCGATATGGTTATCATTACCCGAGAGTGGTTCTGAATGTCATTGTCGCTGAATAAATCATCTTAATTCTTCTTCTCACTCGAACTACAGAGTATCTCTTCACAATTACAAGTTGTATTGTTTAGTGAACGGTTATATCTTTATGATACACCTCTTACCTCCTACCTCTCGCTACTACAGTGGTAAATGCAGCATCCAGTCATTACAAAAGCAAGTGACAATTCAACTATCAGTCAAGTGACTGACAATTAGTGCGTATACGATCCACCAAGTGGGTCAATAGCACGATTAGGACGGACGTTAGGGAACAGAGAGATTGCCGAATACGTATTTCGAGAGAACATCTATATCTATATCTATATATATATATATATATATATATATATATATATATATATATATATATATATAGGAAGAGCGAGAGAGGCCAAAATAGACAGATAGATAGATATAGAGAAGCACTAGATGTGAAGTTGGGGATGATTCATCATTATATACACAGAGATCCATATTATATATACTCCGCGCCCAAGGGGAATAGACAATGTCAATATTATTATATTGATCCAATTATTGACTTATTATTTGTTTGTTATTAAATGAACAGTAATTATTTTATGTAGACGTGAGACACTGATAACCATATTCATTTTATTATTATTATTAATTAAAAAAAGATTTTTTTTTTAATTAAGTTTGACAAAATCTTTCTTGATTTCAAAATATTCAACTGCTGATATCTTCGAAACTGAGCATTTTAGCAATATGAACGTAAGTATCGATTTGGTAGGAATTTAAATTTCCGATAAATGATCTTGTATATGCATTTTTTTTTTTATAAGAAGAGCCATTCTTATAATATCTTTAAAAAAGTATACGAAAAAATGACTTATGATGTAATTTACATGAGACGTTAGAGTAAAATTTTTAGAGTTTTTTTAATTTTGCACGCCTCATAAGCGAAGCGTTGAGGTAGTGCTCTACTCTCGACAAAAAAAAGCAGTTTTCTCAAAACTGAAATTGATTTTTTTTTATTTATACCCTACTACAGGTTAATCTGAGTGTACTAATATCAAGTCAAACAATTTGTCAGGCACATAAAATATATTTCAATAATAATTATTTTGTTTAACATAGTAAATAATAATATTAAAAATAATATACCGGAATAATTTTTTTTTTATTATCTAAAGTAACACACCAAGGACTTTCTCAATTAATAAGAGCGTTCAATTCACTGTCGTTAAATTATTATTTATAAAAAACTAATTTATGACTGTATTTTTTTGTATATCTATCAATACATTTTATTATAGTATTTTTTTTCCTCACCTTAGAATTATGGCGCCACTAAACCATAGCAGTTTTCTGTTTTTTATTATTTTCCTTTTTATATTTTATTTTAATCAATTTTATAGTGAAAAAATGAGATTATGAGGCGTGCAGTTTTGAATTTTCCAAACTTTATTTTTTCTTAAGTTTTAGATAACATATATAATGAAAATAAAATAGTCGTTTCAAATGAAACACTCTGATATATAATATATATATTTATATATAGTACTGATGAAATATTACCCAACATAATAACCAAACGATATCTTAATACTCGACTCCATTAAACATTTTTGTTATTTTTCTCCCCAGCTATTATTTATTTCAACATTTTATCGGGTATTTATTTTTAAAATTTCAATGATAATGTTGAGGCTGTCTCGGCATGAATACTTACTCAATAAAGTGACAAAGTTATAGATAAGAAAGCGTTGTCACTTGTACAGCTTTGGTTGGTAGTATAACGGAGTGAACTGTGCATTGTAAGCTATAGAGAGTGTGTCAATTATATACAGTGAGGGAAGAGATATAGAGAGTAGACAGGAGACAGGAGAACTCAGGAGAAGTAAAACGTGCTTAAACCCGAAGAGAAGGATGGTATGGGTGGCGCCATAGTGCCAAATAGTAGAATAGAATGTAAGAATAAAAAACAAGAGCGCTGAAACAGAAGAAACGGATGAAGAAGGACAACTAGTGAGAAGGCGGGTAAAGGTAATAGTTACTGTTTTGCAGAGTAAGAGTAAAGAATTGACATGTTGAAAATCAAGACTCTGAAGGAGTAGCAGTAGTACGCTGAGGGAGAAAAGTTCTTCAACGTCAAATACGTCTTAATACAATCTCCCTACGGAATTTTCATCTTTGCTCCCACGAGTCGAGTCTCGCGGAACGTTTTTCCATTCAATAGCACCAATGGAATGCCTTTCCGATACATTTTCTCAATATTTACACTGCTATCGAGTGATGTATGAAATTCTAAAAGAAACAGTTGCCGTCGACATGACACTTTTTTTACACTTTTTACAATCACTCTCTTTGGCAAGGACAAAGCTTTTCCAAAGAGCTTTCTGTTAAAATCAAAGTCATATCAATGCTGCTGACGTTGAAAGAAAGATTTTAATGGTGGGGATTTTAATTTTATAGTAAAATTGGTGGATTAATCAATTAAGAATAATAATTATAATTTAAAATAAATGTTAGATATTAATTTGCCGTAATTGGAAAAAATTTTAAAAGAATCAAAAATTCATATTATTTTATTTAAATTATTATAAAATAAAAAAATAATAATAATTTTAGGATTTATTATTTTCTAAGCCAACTTACCCGATCCATTTACAGACTATATTGTCGGTATATTAATTAAAAACTTTGATTTTTAAAACAATTTTTAATTGGGATTATATAAAGATGTTATTTTTTACTCTGTGACACTTTTTTCAGTAACTGAAAAAATAATTTGGAATGCTCAGACCAGGACTAGTAAAAATATCTATTATATATAAAAAAAAACTTTCCTGACACTCCAAAATTCCCGATCTTATTTTATTAAATAATTATTCTTAAATACAGTGAGAGAAAATATTATTTTTAACTGTGATAAATTTGTAAAAATAATAAACGTAGAGGATTAGTAAGATGGGTAATTATTTTTTACTATTCTAATATTAAAAATTACGGTATAATTAATAGTATATTACGACCCGAGGCTATGATAGCCGAGGCTATCATATCACATACGTCAGGGCATCCAACATTCTGGTCATGGGTTGTATACTATTTTTCTTGCTCCCGGGGAAGGGGTTTTGCAAAACCGAGGCGAAGCCGAGGTTTTGCCGGGGGTGAGGGGGGCATAATAAAAAAGTAAAAATTAATAAATAAAAAAAAAATAAGTTATTTCAAAGTTTACTAACAAACGCTCTGATTAAGAGAGATAACATGCACAGAACTTGTCACAAATATTTAAACTCGATTTAATAACAGAATTAATTTTTTTAAGTTGATTAAAAATTAGTTTTTAATTAGACGGCTAAGAAAGATTGAAATTTAATTATTAGAATATAGCTGTCAAAATATAAAAGAAAGCAAATAAAATCTACAAAACTTTTATATTTTATTTTCTAAAATTTTTATATAAATTATTTGTGCAGTATTATTATTAATTAAATAGTTCATTAACAATAATCTAGTAAGAAATTATTTTTATTTATTTGACACTTTTTGGTTAGTTTATTTGTTGACATGTTACATACAGACGATGTTGTGACTCTGTTATATACAGTTGAAACTCGCTGTATAGGCCGGCCGCACCACGAAAGTACGAAAGAAAGCGAGGCTCTGTGCTGCCGGCCAGAAAATATGCGTAGCGCGCATGCGTAGAGAGCCGGCTATAAATGTTGCTCTTCCTGGAGTAAAGTGCGTCCAGGATGAGCGTACTTTCGGCTAGGAGAGCAAGAAAAATATTTTTACTGAAACTACTACAAAATTTACTGAAATCTCTA